AAATGTAAGTAAGCTTTCAACTTTCAGAAAATATAAATACATATATACTATTTAAAGATGTTCTCTAGGCTTTATAATTACATATTGTCATTCTCGAGATCGTGATTCCGTTAAATTGGTACATAAAGCGGTAGCTCTGTCATCAAGAACCTACTTACATATATACTTTTTGTCAAAAACTTAAGTTCTAAATATCTTACTTAAATACGATAAAAGAAAAATTAGTGATAACAACTGCAATTTTATTTAAATTTCATTAGTAAATATTTTTCGGTGCATATTTTTCACATTTTTAGTGCATATTTCCCCAATTTATTGAGCATATTATAAGCGCATTTTCTTCATTTTTTAGTGCATGAAAATGCTTGCCTTAATAATGATAGTGTTTTCTCCCATGAAATAAAAATATGAAAGATAAAGAGATTTGTATTTATATTACTTTTAGGGTAGCAAATCACACAAGGTATAGCTAGTACCAAAGTATAACAAGTAGTCCGACTCTTTGACAGCAGTACCTAACTCTAAGCATGTGTTAGTGAAAAAGTACCTAACTCTAAATTTGTATTAGTAACAAAAATGTACATGTATTTGAGCATTTAAAATTTTCACCAGACATACAGAGTTTTATAAAAATTCATAAAATTTTATTTGTTTGAATTTTCAATACAAAAAAATGTAACTCTGCTTCTAAATTAAAATTCTACCACAACAAAAAATAAATGTCAATAATAAATAAAAAATAAAATTTTAATTTTGCTCAAAATAAACGGAATTTTAAAGAAAAAATTTCGTAAAAGTATTTTAAAAAATTTTACTTTTTATGTGGATAGGTGAAATATCGCGTAGAACCCGCTATTAATTCGAAAATGTAAGTAGAGATTTGAAGTATTTTGACACAATAATATTTCTCACCAAGGTGTTGAATTCACACAGCACCCGTAAATGTGGAGGCGAATTTCGTGTACGTGAGAGTCGGACTACTTGTTATACTTTGGCTAGTACCAAGACGAATAGACTATAAGGTGAAGTCATTTCATTTTGCGGCGAATCATGAAATTTTTTATATATGTAGTATGACAGTGTCGGGTTTGAGAAAGTATTTTTTTATATGGAGTTTGACAGCTTCGGGCTAATTTTCCAAGGACAAAAACAATCAGCTGTTGAAATGACCTTATTAGTTTCTCCATGGCTAGTACCAAGGCGAATTCAGATAAGGTGGTGTTATTTAATCAGCTGATAATTTTTTTCTTAATTCGCCTGGTTTACGTAGCTGTCAAAGTATGTTATTGTTTACATTTTTATATTTAAAAATGTCCGTTAAACGGAGAAAAATTTCGTTAATATTTTGAATTATTTATGTAAAAAATCTAAAAATACCAAGCATCTCGTAAACAAATATGATTTTATTTAAATAATGGCATAATTGGTATGTATACAAATATGTTATTTAGGAAAATTTTTTTCTATTAAATGTTAACATATTAAACAATATTGTTTTATATTTTATATTAACGTTGTTTAGATAACGTGATTAAATAAAAAAAAATCTCTTCCGGAACACTTTATATAAAGAAACACATATGAAGAATTTAGCAGAACAACGGCAGTTTACTTTTTAATATGGCTTAATTTTGAAATCTATTAAATGTTAACAAATTAAACAATATTGTTTTATATATACACTATGTAGATAAAGTGATTAACTAAAAAAAGTGTCTTCCGGAACGCTTTATATAACAAAACCCATATGAGGTATTTACCCGGCCGGCGGCTGCTACATTATGGCCAAATATTGGAAATTACTCCGCCAGAGTAGAATTATCTATTCCCAACAAAGATTCATTCATTCGTTATATATATTTTTTCGTGAATATGTACTTTTTATGTTTATTTTTCACAAAAATTAAGTTTTACTTAACTTTAGGCAAAGCTCGGAAAGAATGAATTCTATTTGGAATTAATTCCCCTATATTTTTAATTCGGCTTTACATTTTTGAATGTACCATTCTTTAAAATCATTCTTTGAATTTAAATTCAAAAGCTGAATTTCTTGGCTTTATATTCCACTGAATTAATTCCTAAGAAAATTCATTCTTTATAGGAATGAATTCAATTGAATGATCATTCATATTTGTTTAATTTCTTCTATTACAAATTGAATGAAAGAAAACAAATTTAATTCAATTTTTAATATACAGAATGCTTTTGAATTATGAAACAAAACTTTCATTCAATCTATTTCAAATTGAATGGTTGAAACATTTTTAAATTCAATTTGTAATAGATTGAATTCAAACAAAATTTATATCATTCAGAGGGAATTTAAAAATTGTTATGTTTAATACTACTTGTTTAAATTTGATTCTTAAACGTTTGTAGTAACTTATGATTTTTGTTTACTTTTTGAAGTTTATGTTTTAAATTGAAATTATTCGATTGTTATTTTTTCATTGCTGTATATCTAAATTTAAATAAAGAAATACGTTATTTTTTAAAAAACACAATATTGGTGTCAGAAGTGGGATATAATGAGTATGTCCCAAGAGCAACTATCGAATGTTATGGAATTACTGGCAGGAGCAATTCGCTCTGCAGTTGCAGATGTGGCGCAGACTGCATCCATGGGTTTTTCGTCGCCTTCATCTTCTGCAGAATTGAATTCAAAACCACCACAATTTTCAATGGTCGAATATAAACAAGAAGATGGAGGATCAGTTTCTGATTATTTTACTAGGTTCGACTGGGCGTTGCAGTTGTCGAGAGTTGCAGAAACTGAGTATGCAAATTACGCACGTGTGCATATGGGCACACAACTGAATACAGCTTTAAAAATTTTAACAAGTCCGAGATCGCCAGGAGAATTAAATTATGCTGAAATCAAAGACATTCTGATTCGTCATTTCGATGGAAAGAAAAATAAATATGCAGAAAGCGTGAAATTTAGACAAATGAAACAAGAACCGGGAGAATCAGTAGCAAAATTTAGTCTTCGATTGAAAAATGGAGCAGTTTTCTGCGAGTACGGCCAATTTTTAGACAGGATGCTAATTGAGCAGCTTTTAATGGGGCTAGAATCTGCAACTATTTGTGATGAACTGATTGCAAAACAACCACAGAGCTTTAGTGAAGCATACGAGATAGCTTATGCTAGAGAACTAACTCATCATGCAACAAAAGAAGTTAACTCCAGCAATGAGCCTTCGCAACCGGAACAGACGTTCAAGTTAGGTTTTGCTCCAGTTAAAACCAAAAATAAAAATAGTAAATCTGATGCTGTATTTCCAAATAAAGGTAAATGTTACGGGTGTAATGGGAATCACACGAGAAACAACTGTAAATTTAAGAGTGCGAAATGCTTCGCTTGTGGTAAGATCGGCCATATTTCTAAGGTATGTAAAAGTAAAACTGGTCAAGTAACGATGGAACAGGACGAAGAAAACGATTCTGTTGAGCAATTGCGTTTTATAAATAAAATTAAATTTTCAAAACCGTATGAAAAGAAAATGATATTTGTGAGTATCGATGGTAGGAAATTGGAAATGGAGCTTGATACTGGTGCTCCTTGTAGTATAATTAGCAAGAAACGCTTACGTGCTATCAAACCCTATTACACTTTACATAAATCTGACAGAAAATTTGCTAGCTATACAGGTCACTCAATAAATTGTATTGGCAGAGTTGTAGTAAATGTGACTTTGGGAAAAACTTCTCGTGTCTTGAATTTATATGTTGTAGAAGATGATTTAGACACTTTGTGCGGCCGTGAATGGATAAGTCATTTTGCACATGATATTAATTTTTCAGATCTATTCGCATCTACACCGCCAAATAATAACTCTCCAAACGATAGCTTTAGTTTAAATACTATTACTTCCGATGTATCGATATTAAATTCTATTGAAAAAAATCAACTACAACAAATTGTAGATAAATTTGATGATGTATTTGGAAGTTCAGCTGGAAAGCTTAAATGTCCTCCTATAAAGATTCATATGAAGCCGAATGCTAGACCCATATTCGCTAGACCAAGAGAAGTTCCTTTAGCTTTAAGAGAAGCATATGCCAAGGAAATTGATGCTAAAATTGCTGCCGGTTATTATAAAAAAGTCGAATTCTCAGAATGGGCTTCCACGACCCATGTAGTAACTAAAAAAAATGGAGCTATACGTATTACTGGAAACTATAAACCTACGGTCAACCCTCAAATGATTATCGATGAGCATCCTATTCCAAAACCAGAAGATTTATTCAACAGAATTAAGGGTGCTACAATGTTTGCTCATCTAGATGTTACCGACGCATATACGCATTTGCCAATAGATGAAGAGTTTGGACATGTTCTTACCTTAAATACTATTACTCATGGCCTTATACAACCCACTCGTGCAGTCTATGGGGCTGCAAATATTCCAGCAATTTGGCAGCGAAAAATGGAAGAAGTTTTAAAAGGATTACCTAATTGTCTTAATTTCTTCGATGATATACTATTATTTGCAAAAGATTTTAATGAATTACAACAAATTTTAGATTTGACTTTGGCCCGAATTAGACAGTGTGGTCTTAAATTAAACAAATCGAAGTGTGTTTTTGCAGCAACGTCAGTGGAATTTTTAGGGCATTTAATTGATGCCAAGGGTATACATAAGTCAAATAAGCATATTGAATCTGTATTGAACGCACCGAAACCAAACTCCTTAGAAGACTTGCAGCTATTTCTAGGTAAAGCCTCATACTATAGTGCCTTTATTCCGGATCTAGCAACCCGTGAGAGGCCATTACGAGATATTCTAAAATCAAAGGTATTTTCATGGAATTTAATCGCGGATGCTGCTTACAACGATATTAAGAAAATTTTAGTATCTCCACAAGTTTTAATATCATATGATCCAAAACTACCATTATTGTTGGCAACGGATGCTAGTAAAACTGGCTTGGGCGCGGTATTGTCTCACCGTTTACCTAATGGCGAAGAACGACCTATAGCATACGCAAGTTGAACAATGAGTGTGACAGAACAACGTTACTCTCAAATAGATAAAGAGGCTTTGGCCATAGTATGGGCCGTTCAAAAATTCTTTAAATATTTATATGCACGGCATTGGACATTAATAACCGATCACAAGCCACTTACTCAGATTTTGCACCCTAGTAAATCGCTTCCAGTTCTTTGTATTTCTCGTATGGCAAACTATGCCGATTTTTTAAGTAACTTTGACTTCGAGATAATATATAAACCATCCAAAGAGAATATTAATGCAGATTACATGACACGTATTGTTTCAGATAATTCAGTAAAGTCACAATGCAACGAAAATTATGTAATTACTGAATACGACGAGTTTGATACTTTTATTTTCCGACAAATTAACCAGTTACCCGTTACAGCTGAAAAAATTGCCAATGAAACCCGTAAAGATTCAGTACTTGGAAAAATAGTTTCAATATTAGAGAAAGGACATTCGTTGGCAAAATATGGTTATACTGCACCAGAATCGAATTATAGACTCTCAGGTAATTGCTTAATATTCGAACACAGAGTTGTAATTCCACAAAAGTTTCGAAAAGACATTCTTCAAAATCTACACGCAGCTCATTTAGGGATGGTAAAAATGAAAGGTATTGCTCGTTCCTTTGTGTATTGGCCAAAAATCGATGCAGATATTGAAGCAGTGGCAAAAGACTGCAACGATTGTGCAAGAGTAGCAAATAAACCTAAGAAGTATACAGATCATCACTGGGAATATCCCAAAGGTCCTTGGGAACGAGTGCATATAGATTATGCTGGCCCTTTCGAGGGTATGATGTTACTAATTATTACAGATGCTTATAGCAAATGGCTGGATGTGAAAATAACTAAATCTATAACAGCTGAGGCAACAATTGCATTAGTCGATGAAGTTTTTGCAAATTACGGTGTTCCAGCGATGGTAGTATCCGATAATGGTACAAATTTCTCATCAGAAGAGTTTAACAAATACTTGACGGCTGTGGGAGTCAGATATCATAAATACACTGCACCTTATCATCCCTCTACTAACGGCCAAGCTGAACGTAGCGTTCAAACAGTAAAAAACGCATTAAAAGCTATGTGTACATCAAAACAAACATTACAACAAAATCTCAACGAGTTTTTAAGGCAGTATAAGAATGCACCTCATTCAACAACTGGAGTATCTCCAGCACAACTTTTTCTAGGCCGTCAAATTCGCACCCGCTTGATTTAGTACATCCAGAAAATGTTTCTTCTAAAATAACAAATAAACAATTTTTGAAACAACATGAGCAATTTAGAGAGTTTCAAGTGGGTGACAATATATATTTTTTATCCGGTAATCAAAAGGAAAGCAAATGGATACCAGGTAAAATAAATAGGCGTTTAGGCGATATTCATTACGAAATTCTTTATGAAAATAAGTATGTACGAAGACATATTGATCAAATTCGTGGTGCTACTCAAGGTGTACAAAAGGATGTGGTAAATGGAAACCTGAGTTATGGAAACAGAAGATCTGAGGAAAACAGGTCTTATAGGAGTATTATATATCCAGAAAATATGAATGATAATGTTTTAGTCCCCAGACATCCCGCTCCTAATCTTCAGCATCCTGAAATAAATTCAAGTTCTCCTAATAATGCAAGAGATCCAGTAAATGAAGATAATGTTGTCCGCTCTCCTGTTCGGGAAAAGGACACAGATGATGAATTTGAAACACCACAAGCTGGTCAAAATCAAAACCACCCTCAAACACCACATTACAAAACAGCGCAAGCGCGACGAGAAGAAACCAGTGAACAGTTAAATATAGAGAATTCACATTTACCAAGTGATCAGCATCTACGACGATCAAAAAGGATTCCAAAACCAAGAGTTTTATTTTCACCTGACAATTCCTAAAGGAAGAGATAAATGTTATGTTTAATACTACTTGTTTAAATTTGATTCTTAAACGTTTGTAGTAACTTATGATTTTTGTTTACTTTTTGAAGTTTATGTTTTAAATTGAAATTATTCGATTGTTATTTTTTCATTGCTGTATATCTAAATTTAAATAAAGAAATACGTTATTTTTTAAAAAACACAATAAAAATCAATAGGATTTGTTGAAATTTATTTTAATTCAATTTGTAACAGATTGAATGCAAACAAAATTAATTCATTCAGAAGGAATATAACATTCTATAGGAATTAATTCATTAGAGAATTAATTCAACTACATCGAAAGCTTTAAGAATTAATTCTAGGAATTAAATCAAAGGGAATGAGTTTGAAGAATTGTTAATTCTTTAAAATATAACTCAATTTCAAAAAAAGAATTAGGGAATGAATTCTTTTAGAGCTTTGACTTTAGGCACTCACTTAAATTTTGCAAATTAATCTACCGGAATAGAATTTTTCGTTTGAAATAAACATTATTCAATTCAGAATATATTTTCTTCACAAATTTTAATATCTTTATCTTTATCTTTATTTTTAATAAAATATAAAAATTTTACAAAAATTTTTCATGAAATGAATTCGCCGTACTTATGGTTTTTGACATCTACGTAAACCAAATGCAAAAACAAAATACATGTAAAATGTTGTTGTTGCAGAACTGCCACCACCTTATCAGAATTCGCCTTGGCTAGTACTTTATATAAAGAAACACAAGGCGAATTCAGATAAGGTGGTGGCAGTTCTGCAACAACAACATTTTACATGTATTTTGTTTTTGCATTTGGTTTACGTAGATGTCAAAAACCATTTTAATTTGATGAAATTTTTTTGTAAAATGTTTATATTTTATTAAAAAATAAAGATATTAAGATTTGTGAGGAAAATATATTCTGCATTGTATAATGTTTGTTTCAAACGAAAAATTCTATTCCGGCAGATTAATTTGAAAAATTTTTAATTGAGTTCCTGAAGTTTAGTAAAACTTAATTTTTTGTGAAAAATAAACATAAAAAGTACATATTCATGAAAATATTATATTACGAATGAATGAATATTTGTTGCGAATGGATAATTCTACTCCGGCGGAGTAATTTTCAATATTTGGCCATAATGTAGCAGCCGCCGGACGGGTAAATACTTCATATGGGTTTTGTTATATAAAGCGTTCTGGAACAGACTTTTTTTAGTTAATCTCTTTATCTACATAGTGTATATATAAAACAATATTGTTTAATTTGTTAACATTTAATAGATTTCAAAATTAAGCAATATGTAAATGTAAGCAGCCGCTGTTCGGCTAAATTCTTCATATGTGTTTCTTTATATAAAGTGTTCCGGAAGAGATTTTTTTTAGTTAATCACGTTATCTACACAATGTTAATATAAAATATTAAACAATATTGTTTAATATGTTAACATTTAATAGAAAAAAATATTTTTCCTAAATAACATATTTGTATACATACTAATTATGCCATTATTTAAATAAAATGATATTTGTTTACGAGATGCTTGGTATTTTTAGATTATTTACATAAATAATTCAAAATATTAACGAAGTTTTTCTCCGTTTAACGGAAATTTTTAAATATAAAAATGTAAACAATAACAAACTTTGACAGCTACCTAAACCAGGCGAATTAAGAAAAAAATTATCATCTGATTGAATAACACCACCTTATCTGAATTCGCCTTGAAAGAAACACTTATGAAGAATTTACCCGTCTGGCGACAGCTGACTTCTATGTTATGGCTTAATTTTGAAATATGTTAAATATTAACAAATTAGCTTTAGCTTCTGTATATTGGAAATTATTCCTATTTTCTAAAAATTAGTTAATAATATTAATTTTAATCTCAATTTATTTTCTTTATTTCTTACAATACATGTTTAAATTAAACTTTTTTTCATAAAATTTTCCTTTCCGCACCGTTTTAAAATGTGAGTTTTTTTGACAGTTCATGTGAGAAACTTCTCACAAAATTTTCTTACAGAAACATTTTTACTCACAAACTTCCAATATCCTACGTCAAAAAACTTAAATGATAGATAGTTCTCACAAAAATAAATTACAGAAACATTCATGTGAGAAATGATATTTTGTTTCAATTCACAGTGTTTTCTCTTCAATTTCACTGTTTCATGCGAGAAATTTCTCGATGCGAGAGTTACAGAACACAGGCACAGTTGTAATCAAGGCGAATTCCAATAAGGTGGTGGCAGTTCTGCAACAACAACATTTTACATTATTTTGTTTTTATTTGGTTTACGTAGATGTCAAAAACCATAAGTACGGCGAATTAATTTGATGAAAAATTTTTGTAAAATGTTTATATTTTATTAAAAAATAAAGATAAAGATATTAAAATTTGTGAGGAAAATATATTCTGAATTGAATAATGTTTGTTTCAAACGAAAAATTCTATTCCGGCAGATTAATTTGCAAAATTTAAGTGAGTGCCTGAAGTTAAATAAAACTTAATTTTTTGTGAAAAATAAACATAAAAAGTACATATTCATGAAAATATTATATTACGAATGAATGAATATTTGTTACGAATGGATAATTATACTCCGGCGGAGTAATTTTTTTTCATATGGGTTTTGTTATATACATAGTGTATATATAGAACAATATTGTTTAATTTGTTAACATTTAATAGATTTCAAAATTAAGAAATAACGTAGAAGTCAGCTGCCGCCAGCCGGGTAAATACTTCATATGCGTTTCTTAATATTAAGTGTTCCCGAGGAGAGTTTTTTTTAGTTAATCACGTTATCTACACAATTTTAATATAAAAAATAAAACAATATTGTGTAATATGTTAACATTTAATAGAAAAAAATATATATATATGGTATGTATACAAACCAATTATGCCATTATTTAAATAAAATGATATTTGTTTACGAGATGCTTGGTATTTTCAGATTTTTTACATAAATAATTCAAAATATTAACGAAGTTTTTCTCCGTTTAACGGAAATTTTTAAATATAAAAATGTAAACAATAACAAACTTTGACAGCTACCTAAACCAGGCGAATTAAGAAAAAAATTATCATCTGATTGAATAACACCACCTTATATGAATTCGCCTTGGTTGTAATATGAAAAAATTTATCAGCTGATTGAGTAAACCACCTTATGTGAATTCGCCTAGGTCTATTTTTTAGTAATCTTTGACTGTCAACTTCACCACATTAAGATATTAAAATAAAAGTTATTTCAATAAAACAAATTTGCCGCCTCTTTCAATTTTACAGTGAATGGGATAGTTTTTATTTTAACAATGATACATGATATAGTTTTGTCTTGCCTCAATTTACACTCAAAGCAGTTGCCAATTGAGGAGTTTTTGGTAATACCTATAAATCCAAGTAATTGTATTTAAAAATATTAAATTTATACACTTTTTTAGGTCTCTGATGCTGTGAGTGCTTTTTTTCATCCTTGCGAAAAAAAATTGTTGGAGGATATTGTTGCAATTATAAATCTATTGCGGGAAATCGCGAAATTTTCGAAAATATATGGAACAAATCAAAGTATAAATATTAATGCTACAATTATCGACACAGATGGTAAGTTTAGAAGATGCGAGTAGTTTCATATTGATATTCAATTAGCTCCTTAAATAATATTGCGAATGTATAATGCTTTTAAATGAATGTAGTAATCGTTTGCAAATATGAAGCATTGTGTCGAATAAGGGTTAAACCATTTGAGAAACAGGAGATGTTCAGCTCCACCACATTTTCCCAAGATTTTATGAAATAAAACAAAATGTATTTTTAAATTTTAATGAAACGTAGATATTTAGATATTTATTTATCTTATACCACGTAGAAGTGTGATTATGTTGACGATCAGAAAAATGTGTATTTAATTTACAAAACCCAAATTGGTTACAAACAATATTTAGGCACCATTAACGGTTTACTCGTTAGAACCTTCCAACAAAGTTGTAAATAACTTCGCAATTAATATTGCAAAAAATAATATTTACATAGGTTATCAAAACAAGTCTAACCATAAATTGAACTTAAACGGGAGACGATAAAAAAACTAATAACAGCTTAGGTACCTTAGGGTCTGACTTCAATTTTTTTCCGATGCAATCAAGCAAGTTGCACAACCAATGAAGATACGTGTAAAGTCGGTGTGTGGCTGGATTGACAATCCTTGGTCGTTGTTCGTTGAACTCTGAGTCGTTCCGGTGCGAAGAACCGATTGTCGTGGGAACGTTGGTTAACGACTACAAGCGGGAAAAGTGGGTAAATCACCTAAAAACCTGTAACTTAACCTCCGGAGCCAGCAAACTATGGTCTACTGTCAGATCTCTGTCGAATCCAGCCAAACATGAGGATAGGGTCGCGATATCCTTCAATGGAAATACCATATCCGACCCCAAGCGCTGCTCGAACTACTTTGCACGTCAATTTATAGAGCACCCCGACAGAGACAAGGCGAAAAGAAGCATCGTAAGGAAGGTACACGATCTTCGAGTCAGTGACAGACCATATGTTTTTACTACGAGCGAGGTTACGAAGGTCATCAGAGATGCTAAGTCATCGAAAGCTATTGGCCCAGACGGTATATCCATGTTGATGCTGAAAAATTTGGATGAACCGGGAGTTGAGTACCTTACAAAAGTCCTCAATTTGTCGATGTCAACCCTTATAATACCCGAGGTCTGGAAATTGGGCAGGGTTGTTCCCTTGCTGAAGCCAGGGAAAAGTGCAAACCAGGGAGAATCTTACAGGCCTATCTCCCTCCTGTCACCAATTGCCAAGACGCTTGAGGCACTACTCCTCCCGGAATTACAACAACACCTACATCCTGCAGATCATCAACATGGATTCCGCCTAAAGCACAGTACAACAACAGCTTTAACCGCCATCACCATACAAGTTTGCCGCGGCCTTAATCAGGCTCGACCACGTCAACGAACGGTCCTCGTGGCACTCGACCTATCAAAAGCGTTTGATACGGTCAATCACGCCATTCTCTTCAGAGACATTTTAACATCTGGTCTCTCTGACAACACCAAGAGATGGCTAGTGAACTACATGTGTGGTCGACAGTCATTTGTGGAGTTTAGGAACCAGAGATCTAAATCTCGTAGAATTAAACACGGAGTACCCCAAGGTGGAGTTCTTTCGCCGATCCTGTTTAATTTCTACATGTCTAAACGCCGATGACTGCTCGATATTGGCCACGGGCAATAGTATTGATGACCTTTGCGGCTTGATAAACAGTTACCTATGTGATCTTTCCAGCTTCTTCCATTTAGAAATTTAAAAATATCGCCTACGAAATCCTCAGCAACTCTCTTCACCACCTGGACTAAGGAAGTAGGGCTAGAACTTTATGTGACAGTCGATGGCGAAAAAATTCCGACGGTAAATCACCCCAAAATACTTGGTGTCACATTCGATAGCCTCCTTATGTCCTCAGCGCACACCACTGCAATCTGCAACAAGATGCGAAGTAGAAACAAGGTACTCAAGTCTCTAGCCGGCTGCACTTGGGGAATGGATAAAGAAACCTTGTTGACTACCTATCAAACGATTGGCCGGTCAGTGGTAAACTACGCAGCGCCAGTGTGGACACCTAGAGTTAGCGACACGCAATGGAAGAAGCTTCAAAGCTGTCAAAACGCAGCCCTAAGAACGGTGACAGGCTGCATTCAAATGACATGCGAAGAACATCTGCATGACGAAACGAAGATGCTTTCAGTTAAGGAACATAACATCATGCTGTCAAAGCAGTTCCTACTGGGATGTCATCGGAGGGGCCACCCTAACCACCATTTAACGGAGTTAGAACCCCGCCCGAGGCATGTCAGGAAAGATCTTCGTATGTATGAGAGTGACATCCAAGAACACCTAGATGATATAGAGGACGAAAGCTCATACAGGACAGCTTTGAATACTATCCATCAACAGGCGGTGGAAGACTCCATCAATTCCCACCGCGATAGTATAATACTGGGAGGTCGTCCCCCACCCGTTGCAAACGAGGAACGAAACCTACCACGTCGTACTAGAGTGGTATTGGCACAACTTAGATCCGGATGGTGTACCCGTTTAAACTCGTACTGGTCGAGAATAAACGACACCATTCAAGATCTTTGTCCTGCGTGTGGAACAGGCCCACACAATGTTCAACACCTTTTTAACTGCAGGGCAAATCCAACTCAGTTGGAACCTGAATCCCTTTGGACTCAGCCGTTGGATGCGGCTCGTCTACTGGGTTTAGATCTAACGGAGTTGGATAACCAGAGCGAAGAAGAAGAAGTGTAGGGAATAATGTTTAAATATATATACGTGTAATTTCAGGTGTCGCTGCTACAACAACAACAACAACCAATGAAGATGAAAATTTGGTCTCTACTTTTAAAGTTCATTTGAAATATTTCACAGAAATTTAAAGCAATCTCACGAAAAGCTTACATCGAAAAATAAGTTGTTAAATTGCTATAATTTACTTGCATAATAGTATTTTAAGTTATTATTTTAACATGTCGATGACACTGGAGGCAAGTACTTACCACGATCACGACAAGTAAGGGGTACTTAATACAAATATCTGCAAATAAGGAGCAAAATACAATAAAATAACTAAGCAGTGGTGTTGTGAGTACGACGGCGAACTAACGAACAATAAGCCTAGGTTCGAATTAGTGAATGGTATGAAAAGCCAATAATCGATTTTCGAATTTTTCGATAAACTATTTTAGTTTCCATTTTTAAGTCGATTAATCGGGCCCAATAATCGATTATGACTATTTTTAAAAATTTTTTATATAAAAATGTTTCCAGTTTTTAATTAAAAACAGTTAAAAATGTTATATTCGTTCGAAATCTAATTAAAATATTAGATGCACCCCAAAAAAGGTGCTTTAATTACCCTTCTTAAAATATCTATTGTTATGGGGTTTACTGTTGTCCCTTCGTAAGCTGAACAGTTTACATATTTAGAAGGAAAATTCACCCAGGTTGAAAAACCATTCTTTTATTCTTTTTAGATATATTTTAATTTTTTAACATTTATCATTTAAAAGGTTTTTTGAATCCGTGTTTAACAGTGCACTATGGTTCAGATGACCACTTTTTTGGCCAAAACTAAAAATGTGTCCAAAAAATATTTTTATGGTGTAATAGATATCGAGGGACTATATTCAATAGTCTCTATCTAAAATAATACAAATTTTCAGGAGAGCAAAAAAACTGTTTATTTCGCTAGTTCGTGAAGATTTTTTAATTTTTTCTTTCACAATATATTTTTACGACCATATTTTAAACCATTATATAAAAAGAATTTTAATTTTTGCATTATTTACAAAATTATTCACAAATTTATATCAGATAGAGCTTATTTTTCTACGAAAATGTTCATTCAACCAACAGATAGAGAGTTTTTCATGGAAACATAAAATTTTTATTTGAATTAAAATCAATAAATATTATATTTTATACAATTTAATGGAGGAAAAGAAACCAAATTGTTGAAAAAGCAACAGATTATAATGTTTTGGTCCAAAATCAATGTTATATGGTTAAACACGACAATAAAATTGATTTAATTAGTATCATAATGAGCGATATCTCAAAAACTATTAGACCGATTTTAAATATTTTGACGGATTCGTGTTCAGCATGTCCAAATTATTAAGAAGACTTGTTTTGCAACAGAAAATTATCCAAAGGGATCGAGTTTGAAGCAATTTTTGGATAAGATAGAGAGTTTTGCATTCAGAATTTTTCTTTTTTTAAGATAGAGAAATTTAAAAAATGCTATAAAATTGCCAAAAAATATTTTTTTCTTTGAAATTTATATCACTGATGCGCGATAGTTTGCTGAATATTTTGCCATCAAAATCTCATTTTCATAAAAATGACAGATAGCGACTATTGAATATAGTCCCTCGATATACTATTTTGCTTAAAATTTAAGTACAATGACAGAAAAATATGCCAATTTACATAGTTAAGAAATTTAAGTTTTAACAGAAATTTAAAATATGGAGTTATTATGTCGGACTTTTTTTAGAAGCTTATATGAAGTTGGTGATCGCAAATATTTAAGAAGTTATACCAAACATCCATGTTTTACGTACCCCCACATTCTTTTTGGGTCAGCTTTATTATACTAGTTTATACTAGTTTACAACGATTTTGCTCATGATATAAAACCTATATAAATTTTTTTTATTTTGGCCGTCTAAGTCCAGAAAAAATAATAAAAAAATCTAGGACGTAGAATTTTTGAATTATTATTAGGAGGAAAAAATTGGATATTTAGAGTTGTAGTTATTTTTTTATATAAACAATTTTACTTGTCTTCCTTAAGGGCCCTTCACACGGTCACACTTTACGTACGACAAGTTTAATGAAAAAATAAAATGAAATTCCATCCGTATGACAAAAAAGAGAATAAAAGTCGTATGATTTATATTTTTTGTGTTTACACGATTGGTATAAAATAATAACAAAGTAAGATGGAACAGCTGTTTCACTTTTTTTGTATGTGTTTGCATAAAAATACATCCCTGATCTAATGCGACTTGCCATACGAC